TAAGTGAATAACATCCAGAAAGTCAACTAGACTACTGTGTTTATGCGACATGTAATAAATAAAAAGTTTAAGTCGAAGGTAAACACACAAACATACCAGAAAAGCATAGCGAAAAGTCAAGTAAGTTAGTTTATTTGGCCGTTGGTCAGGTTGCCATACGGTTGCCATACGGTTGCCATACGGTTTGGACAAATTTAAGAAAATAACATACAGAAAGTCTACTAGGCTACCTTATATATGCGTGATGTCATAAGAAAAAAAAAAAATTAAGTCGAAGTTTAAGTCGAAGGTAAACACACAAACATACCAGAAAAGCATAGCGAAAAGTCAAGTAAGCTAGTTTATTTGGCTGTTGGTCGCTAGGTGACCATGCCTCCTCCGCGCGCGCTGGCTCTGCCGTGTGTGCGCATGCGCGCGCGCGTGCGAGCACAGTCGGGCAGCGAGCAGCAGAGGCAGCAGCAGCAGCTTCAGTCGTCGCCGCCGTGCGTCGCTGAAGATGTTACAGCAGCAGCCTCTGACTGGCAATGGGCCCTCCAACGGCCGGGGGCTGGGCGTGAGCGGCCACCCCGGGATCCATGCGCTCAGCTCGGTTCACCAGCCCTCCCAGCACCGCGCGGACGGAGGCGACCCGGGCCTCGAGGGCACGGAGAACGGACACGAGAACCGCCGGGACATCGGCGACATACTCCAGCAGATCATGACCATCACCGACCAAAGTTTGGACGAGGCACAGGCAAAGTTAGTGACGACTTTGGGTTTGTTTAAAAAAAAAAAAAAAAAAAGTTTAATTTTGACGTTGCTCACGCTCCGGCTGCCCTTTGTTTTGACTCTGTCTCCCGGTGTCAAAGTTTCCTGAACTTCAGCCTATTGTTTGGATTAATTAGCCGACAGCTTACCGGAAAAACAAAGTTGTTGTTATGAACCGGGAATTTCAGATCGTAGTGATTTAGTTTTGGCTCTAGTCAAGGAGTTTTGTTTATTTTCTTGTTTATAAGAAAAGTCGCGTTTCTTTTTGCAACGACAGTTAAGGCTACCATTGTTAGCTTTCTAGCTTGCTAACTAACCGAGGCTAACTAGCTTAAGCTACAATAAGCAGTTATGATATTCCTACCATGTAAACATCGCTAAAAGAATTGGCAAACGTTAAATTACCTTGTGAACAAGTGATGGGTTAAGCAAAACTTTCAGGCTTACCGTATTCTGACAGGTTTTCCTGTCAGCGGTTGCCTGCTAGTGGCTAAGCTAGTAGCGGCTAACGGTTGCTAACGTAACTTCACTTATAAACAGCACGTCCGGGACTTTGGTGTTTTTGTTTTTGTCAGTTAGCGTATTTTCTGCGAGCTGTCGGCTTTTTCTGATGACCCCCAAAAAACGTGTTATTTTCTTGATGTACTTCAGGAAACACGCACTCAACTGTCACCGGATGAAGCCTGCATTGTTCAGCGTTTTGTGCGAGATCAAGGAGAAAACCGGTATGTTTACACTCTCTACACGGGTTTTGATATGGTCAGTGGTCCACAAAAACACACACCACGTTGTGTAGCTAATGCAGAGTTGTTGGACAGCGTTGACGTTGTGTCATCACAAGCCAATCAAGTCGTAAACAAACCGAATGGGTTTGTGTACACAAAGGAAATTTGGTTGTCAGTGACTGTGGGCGTTAGAGAATCAACAACTTTTCATGTAAAAATGCCTTTTGGTTTACAGTTCCCGGCAGAACAGCTGGACAAACATGCTCACAGAACCATTATTATAAGCAGAGATGGGTAGAGTAGAGACACATCTCACATGGGTACTTTGGTAAGAGCTTTAAGATAATGTTAAGTCAAGTAAAAGTAAAAAGTATTCACACTAAAGTGGTTCAAGAAGGAATAAAAAGTACAGAGTGACCCCCGATTCACAGATTTTGTTTACAATCAGGAAATGAATGTCCTCAAATGATGTAAAAAAAAAGAGACATGACACCACTTCAGATATTGGAACAACACTATTTAGAGAACGAGGACGATATATTAAGTCTTTAAATTAAATATATTTATCATTGTGTTTGAGGCAAATGTGGACGGATTGAAGGGTTGACGTTATGATCTCTTTAGGAGGCTGGGCATCCAATATTTTCCCCTCAGTGATATATGAAGATGTATACAAACCAACCAGGGGGGCCAGGGCATGCTCCCTGTAAAAAAGAAATTGTCAATATTGGATTTAAATTAATCTATTTGGAGTATATTTCTATATTTGGAGTGTATGAGTATATTTAGTCATTCCCAAATGACCAAAGCAGCACCAAATATCAACGTTGATTCTACATGAAAAATACTTTTTTATCTCCAACCGTGGCTAAAGATGTCAGAAGAATAACAAACATTACTGCTTATTCAACTTATCTTTTTCATTATTGGCCAGTGTTTTGCAAAGTTATTGTTAACAGAGACTTTTAATGCAGAATAAGGTCCCGGTTTGCCATTCGGTGTGTTAACAGGAGCTGCCGGTTTTTCAGTTTGAGCTCAGACGGGCTGTTTTATGAGAGTCCTGCCCTGTCTGTGAGCCTGGGATTGATGTAGGAGTCTGCTCAGCTCCGGTGCCATGGGCAGAGATTTGCCCTTTTCAGTATTTATGAGTTGTGATGTGTCATAGTCTGAATCAGCTCGGATTGAGTGACAGGTCTGGGCCTTTTTTTTAACACTTTTTTGTACTTTGGACTCTTTAAAAATTGAGTTATTCACCGTGGTTGCTCTCACTTGTTGCATTCAAAGCCCGGGATGGGAACGACGTGTTGAACTGTTTGACTCTGAGCTATTTGTTTGTATTCAAAAGAAATGGAAATTTAGACCTGTGACGAGCCAGAGATGGCCGTTTGCTCCAGGTTTGCTCCAGGTTCTAAGGGGGCCGTTAATCTCCTGGCTCACAAACTGGTTCCAACTCCACAGAAACGGAAGCCACAGCGTTTTTTAAAAGCAGCAATTGACGGCCGCCGAGTGGAAAAACTGGACGCCTGAGTCACCAGAATAGGGACGTCCCGATCCAGCTTTTTTACTTCCGATCCGATCCCGGTCTATCAGAGTATGGACTAAAGTTTTAAGTTATTTATCTACGTACTAAGTTGTCAAACTCATGTTGAACGGGGATTTACTCTGATAACAAATAGCCAACTGAATTAGGTGAGTTTGAATAATACACAGTTGTTAGTAAAGAGACACTGACCTGTTTATTCAGGGATAAACACAAAATGGGATAAATCTGACATTTTTACCGATGGCTTCAAATCTACATGTCCGTCTTAATGGTGAGGACACAGAGCTGTGGGTCAGGAGATGCTAATGCTTAAGGGTGTGCTGGAAAATGACCGGATATTAGGGAACAACACACCAAAGTGGAATGGATTGGAAAACCGATCAGACTTTTTTTTTTAAAAACTGGATCGGGAGTCTCGATCTCCATTTTATCCCTTTGGCCGATACACATTTTTTTTTTTTTTTTTTTCCCAATATCGGATCGGGACAAGCCTAATCTGCAGTATTTATTAAGGAGTTATTGTAGGTTTTTGGGCTGTGAAACGAATTATAGGAATTAAAGTGTATTCTGATGGGAATATTTGAACCAACATATGGATATTTTAACATAAAAAGTTGGTCCAGGAACCAGTTAAATTTGTATGTAAAGGTTCTGCTGCTTTTCCCTTCGGAGAGCCAAGAGCCCAGCGACCCGATCCAGATATCAGATCGGGCAAAAGCCTACTCCTGAATGGAGAAAAACTGGTTTTCCCACTGGTTCCCGTTCAGGTCCTGAGCTTATTGGCCGTCCGGTAAAGATAGAGCCGCTGAATTTAGAGGTGGAGAAAAGCCCCGAGGGCCTGTGTCCGACCCTCTTCATACCACACCAGGAATAATATCTTATCCTGTACGTCTTTCCCTTTTTATTTCAGGCTCTTTGGATCAGGTGCGTCTGGGGGGGTCATACAGTGGGGTAAATAAGTATTTGACCCCTTGCTGATTTTGCAGGTTTGCCCACTTACAAAGAATGCTTATTTTTCCTCATCAGATGGTTATCAATTTTTATAAATTCATATGATGTGATTTTCTGGAATTTTTTTGGGAATCTGTCTTACTCACTGTTAGAATGTACATATGATTAAAGTTATAGATCGTTGCATTCTTTGAAAGTGGGCAAACCTGCTAAATCAGCAAGGGGTCAAATACTCATTTCCCCCACTGTAAATTCCTCTGCTCTGGTCCCATTTAGCCCCCCCCCCCCGACCACAGGAGCCCACAGGGCTGCTTCTGCCACTCAGATTCTGCCAAAATATGGTCCCCGTGAGGGCTGTCATACATTTAATATGTGTAAAACAAGCTGCCGTGGGCCTTCATCTCCCTTTAGGGATGAATAAAGTGGGTTTCTTTCCGTCTCTCCCTTTTAAAAAAAATCATTTTATGGTTCCCTCCTCTTAGCATGGCGGCGGCTCACGTAGAGGCTGAATTACGGGGCCCAGTCGTGTCTTTTTAAGGGCAAAATAAAAAGCTTTATGAGACGTTTAGTGGCTGTGAGGAACCGGCTCCAAGAGGGGATTTAGTACAGCTGCTTTTTTAGGAGAATCAAGACAATTCTAATAATAATAACCCAATTTTTTCCCCATGGAAAATCAGTGCATCTGGTCCACTTCTCGGTGATGAGGGGACTTAGGAAGTTAAACATTTGGTTCAAACGATGAGTGCAGCAAGCAGAGGAGCCATTACTAGGAAATGGATGGGTGTTTTTGTTTAGGTGATTGAAGGAAGCCAAATTATGTAATTAAATAATGAGGTGAACTAATCAAAGATGGATATACATAGAAATAGTACTGTACAGCTGCTTTTTTAGGGTAGAGGTACCCTAACCCGTACCTCTACCCCCCACAGCTCCTATCCTAACCCTAACCCGTACCTCTACCCCCCCACAGCTCCTATCCTAACCCTAACCCGTACCTCTATTCCCCCACAGCTCCTTCTGTAGTCCCTCTACCTCTATCTCTATCTCACCACTGACTCTGATCAGTGTTTCTCCTCTGTATAGCTTATCGTCATAGTGATGATAAATGTAATATTGTGTCTACTCTGTAAGTCGCTTTGGATAAAAGCGTCTGCCAAATGCATAAACATAAACATAAAAATGCTGCATACTCCTTTAAAGTAACGAACAGAACTGATCAGAGTCGTGTATCTCTGGGCTCCGGCAGGCCTCTCCATGAGGAACGCGCAGGAGGAGGAGCCCCAGGACCCCCAGCTGGTGCGCCTGGACAACATGCTGCTGGCGGAGGGCGTGGCGGGGCCGGAGAAGGGCGGGGGGGCGGCCGCCGCCGTGTCGGCCGCCACCAGCGCGGGGGGGATGTCCCCCGACAGCTCGCTGGAGCACTCCGACTACAAAAGCAAGTTGAGCCAGATTCGCAGTATCTACCACACTGAGCTGGAGAAGTATGAGCAGGTACCGTGTCGCTACAGGAGACCCCCCCCCCCCCCCATCCCCCCCCTCCCCCCCCTCGTCCTCCCCCTCTGACTCCGCCCCCGGGCGCTAACCCGTTAGCATGCTAACCTGACAGTGCAGGGCGTCTTCAGGGGGTGGGGGGGCGGTTCACTCTATGGTCTTAGAGGGGATTTTTCTGTGGTTCAGAGCAGAGTTTCTTTCTGTATTTCTTTCTGTCGTTCTTTCTGTCTGTCTCTTTCTTTCTTTCTTTCTTTCTTTCTTTCTGTCTGTCTGTCTGTCTGTCTGTCCTTCTTTCTCTCTGTCTGGCTTTTTTTTCCTTTATTTCTTTCTTTCTTTCTGTCTTTTTGTCTTTCTTTTTTCTGTCTGTCTTTTTTTCTTTCTTTCTGTCTGTCTGTCTGTCTGTCTGTCTTTCTCTTTTTCTTTTTGTCTGTTTGTCTGTCTTTTTTCTTTCTGTCAGTCTGTCTTTCTTTTTTTCTTTCTTTTTTCTTTCTTTATGTCTGTCTGTCAGTCTGTCTTTCTTTCTTTTTTCTTTCTTTCTTTCTGTCTGTTTGTCTTTCTTTTTTCTCTTTCTTTTTTCTTTCTTTCTGTCTGTCTGTCTGTCTTTCTATTTTTCTTTTTGTCTGTATGTCTTTTTTCTTTCTGTCAGTCTGTCTTTCTTTTTTTCTTTCTTTTTTCTTTCTTTCTTTCTGAGTCTGTCTTTCTTTTTTTCTTTCTTTTTTCTTTCTTTCTGTCTGTCAGTCTGTCTGTCTTTCTTTTTTTCTTTCTTTCTTATTTCTTTCTGTCTGTCTGTCTGTCTTTCTCTTTTTCTTTTTGTCTGTTTGTCTGTCTTTTTTTCTTTCTTTCTTTCTGTGTGTCTTTCTTTTTTTCTCTTTCTTTCTGTCTGTCTGTCTCTGTCTTTCTTTCTTTCTTTCTTTCTTTCTTTCTTTCTTTCTTTCTTTCTTTCTTTCTTTCTTTCTTTCTTTCTTTCTTTCTTCCTTCCTCTTATAGGGAAACACAGAGCTCCAAAAAGCTAACATGCTAACTTCCCGTTTGCTTTTGGTCGACTTTTCCAAATGCATTTCCATCCTTTTTAATAGTCTCTGAGGTTCAGGGAAAACCTCAGACTCAGTGACAGGGAGAGAGTTTTTCAGGAGTCCTTTTCAAAGAAACATTTAGCTGAATCGGGAATTTAAATAGAGTTGTTCTGCATGGACATTTCAGCCGAAATCAGAGTATCTGGTCCGCTTCTCGGTGATAACGGGACTTATGAAGTTAAATATTTGTTTCAAATCCCAACGCTAAGTGAGTGGTTCGACATAATTTTGATTTGATTGAAATCTGATGCAAATGCAGGTTCTTTTGCATTTTCATTTCGGTGAACATGCTGATGGACATCAAAGGCAC